TGTGGAAAACACATTTTTTCCATTTTTAAAGGCAGGCTTGTTGTCTGGTTCGTGTGTGCCAAGGTCATGTGTTCAATCTCCATCCTGCTTAATGAGAAGTAATGTTAATAAACTGTTATTAATTATAGTCAAATAATGCATGAAGGTAATGGTGAACTAGTTCCACAACAGTCACATGTGTAAACTCACATCTGAGAATCCATCAAGCTGCCTTTGTTCCAGGTAGAAAACACGAAAAACGGCCAAAATTAACTTTCATGTCTACTTTAACTTCATTACCTCAGCCAGTATGTCCAGCATTACTTCTTAACTTTCTGTTTTGCTGACTTATTTTTATTTCCAGTAATGTATCACTTACACCTCATTGCTTTTCTATCAGGCGCTGCATTTATTTCAAGTTTTTTAATTTTGTTTTCTTGCACAAAAATTTCCTCTGGGATCTGTATAGGTCTATCTCATCTCATCTCTGATAGTGACATCTTGTCAATGAAATCCACAAAACTTATGACTTCTCAGGAAGCCGTGTGTACAAACTCCTCGTCAAACTGACCTTGAATCAGAATCCATCTATTTTCCAGAAACCTTGGCTGCAGTGTTTTCAGAGGGACTCAGAGGGCTGCAGCAGACAGATACGTGCTTAAATGCAATTATTCTAAGTGGCAGACTGCTCATAAAAATCCCACCAAAAGTCTGACTTTGCATTGGAAGCTCCACCAGACTCTGTCCATCAGTAAAATCATAACACACTCCAGCACAGGAGCTCTCTTCTGCTCTATTAAAATAAAATCATGTTTCCAGGAGTGACAGCGGCTGGATCTGTTGTTCAACCGCTTCAGCACCAAAGAACCCACTGCGAGCTGCTGCAAGAAGCAAATGAAGGACAAAGTTTTGATCCAACAACTGTACAAACAGTGTCCAGTGCTTTATTTATTAGAGGGGGACTTTTTATTAGTCGCCTGGCACTTTAATTTAATTATTTTTACTTCTTTTTTTGTGGCATCTTCCAACAAAATGGGCTCACGTCCCACCACCCCTGAATGAACACGTCAACCTTTACTTCATCCTTGCAGCAGATAAAAGTCTCACATAGTCGTTCACAAAGCTGTTTGGAGAATAGTCTGACTGCACCTTACTATCATCATCATCACAGCAAACTTATCATTTTTAGCATTTCTGCTGTTTCCAGTTGTGAAGCACAATAAACAGCCGCTGAGTCTCTTGTAGAAGCAGAAATCTGGTTTCTTTTGTTAAATCAAACTCAAATCCAACCACGAAGGGACTCGAACCCTCAATCTTCTGATCCGAAGTCAGACGCCTTATCCATTAGGCCACGTGGTCTTCGATTAGAAGGTTTTTGGGGGGACTTTTTTTGCTAACCTGCCATGTCATTTGTTGGTTGATGATTCTGCAAAACATCAACCATTTCCCAAAAGACCTTTAAGCAGAAATAGCTAGAAAATGGGTTTTGTTGGGAAAATAATGTAGTTTGCAACTGTTAAGAGTATCTCAGCTGGTTAGATTGTGGCACTAATAAGGTCACAGGTTCAATCCCCGTATTGGTTAGACTTTATTTAGTGGAAGAAGAAGGTTCCTGTTGAACACATGACATCAAATCAGCAAAGTCTGTCCTCCTCCTGCTGTTTGTTTCATCACCTAAGTTGCAGCCATAATCCCAGAGGGACAGGCCGTTATGATGGAGAGCTATGAGGGACATAAACATTTATGACAATTAAAACTGCTGTTACTGCAAATGATGCCAGAGAGGAACGCTGGTGGAAAACTGGTAATGCCTCCTCGTTAATATATTTATTTTACCACTTTCAATGCAGCTGCTTATTTCTACCTTACAGCATATTAGAGCTTTGTTGAAATTTGTTTAAATGACAACATCTGATCTACTGTGATTATCTACCAGTGACATGCAGCTTCACATTGTTCAGAAAATATCACAAGTCGACAGCTGCGTTATCTTTTTTCTTTTTTTTTTGGTAAATTGTGCTCAAAGATGCGACTTTTCATGATGGATTTACTTTTGTTTCATACTTTTTCACCAATAATCAGATTATTTGATCGACTTGTCCAATATTGCAGATCACAAAGAATTACAAACAAGCTGAATGTTTTGTTCCCCTTTGCCAGAATGATAATGAGGAGCAGTCAGACCCATCTCCAGCGCTGACACAGCACTTTGTAAACCATCTGAGCATCATAGCTTAATTAATTGGTTGGCTCACAGTTTGCTTTAGAACAATAATTTGACTGAAGACGACATGGACAGAATCCTTTATATTGACCTCATAAGTTGTTCTTATTCTAAATAAAAGAGTTCCAGGATGATGACACTATAAAAATCTTTTCTAAGTCGTGGGTTATATTTAGCAAGTTAACACATTTAGATACTTAGCATGCACCACATTGACCTTTCCTCTAACCTTGTCTTTGCTTTACAGCATGTTGGCTGGAGGTTTCTGAAAGAGGATTTGGAAACAACACGACTCATTCAGCAGGAGAACTGAAGCGTAACCTTTGAAATGTCAGTCTGAAGTCTACATCTGGTGAGTCGGACTAACATGATGCAGGACTTTCTTATAATTGAAATCCAACCACGAAGGGACTCGAACCCTCAATCTTCTGATCCGAAGTCAGACGCCTTATCCATTAGGCCACGTGGTCCTTTGTTTTGCTCTCTTTAGGGTATTTTTCAGCATCCTGCTTCTAACAAAGTCATTTCTTGGTTAATAATATATTCCGTATAACATCAACCATTTCCCTAAACATGCGTGTTTGCTTGAATGCAAATTATCTCGACTGCAACAAGGACGAAACAAAGCATGACATGTTTGTAGAAATAGCTGGGAAATAGGTTCTGAGGAAGAAAACTAGTTTGCAGTCGTTGACAGTCGCCGTTTAGCTCAGCTCAGGCTCTCCAAGTAGTATGTATGTCCATTAGGGTATGTATGGATTTCCATTAGGATTATTAAAGTTCAATGTCAAACGTAGAGCACCAAAAATACCAGGATGTACGTCCACATCACATCAGCGTCAGGTTTTGCAGTGTCTGCCGTGGAAGCTTAAAGTGTGTTTTAATGACTTGCTTTGCAGCGTTTAAAAACAAGATGAGTCTACATGTCTCCGTTTGCTCCTCCAGCAGCAGCAGCGGTTGTTTCCGCAGCGTTTCGGTAGAAGTTCATCTCGCACATTGTTCAGCACATTCCCTCCACACAGCAGGCCCGTGGTCCAGCAGAGCTTTATGTTGACTGACGTCCCGCTGTGGAGAAAAACGGGAGCTATTTCCACAAACACTGCATCAAAACCTCAGACTTTATTTCACCCCTGTAGCAGATGAAAGCTGCTCACATGATGCAGGACTAGCAGCACAAGAAATGAAGCCGTTTTAGAAACGCAACACGAAATGCGAAACACAAACCCAACCACAGAGAGACTTGAACTCTCAATTGTCAGACGCCTTATCTCTGAAGCACTGTGTTCTGGGTCCCATGAGGAGCATCCAGAAGCAGGTTAGAAGGACGTTCAGACCACCTGGAAAACACACAGATCAATGGATTGTCTGATTCAGAGGCAGGTATGTTATGACTGTGACACATGGATACTTGGGGGCTCCGGTTAAATCTATAAAGACGTAAGAAGAGGGAGAAGTCACTCATTGTGGGAAACACCGATCTACATGCTGAAGCTTCACAGGAACTAGTCTTAACTGCTACACAGGATGAAGTAAAGCATCCGGTCTCAGTGGACATAGAGCCCAGTTTTGCTCAACAGAAATAAAAATGGTGGAAGATGCCTCCAACTCCTATGTGCTGAGTGAGCTTGATCTGTTTGAACGGCCATTTTTTAAAATGGCAAGTCAAACACAAATCCAACCAAAAAGAGACTCAACCTTCAGTCTTAATGCGAATTATCTTAAATGCATCAATAAAGAAATAAAGCATGAGGTGTTGGTAGAAGTTAGGTTTATGGAAACAATCTATTTGTGAGGTGTTAGCATTAGCCGGTTAGCTCAGCTGGTCAGAGCGTGGTGCTAATAACGCCAAGGTCATGGGTTCAAGCCCCATACTGGCTACTTAGGCTTTACTTAAAGAGAAGTAATGGAGAAATGTCTCAGTTAATAGATTAAGTCATTGGTGAAATAATCCAGGAAAAGTCATGTGTTGTAGACTTCAATCTGAGAGTCCATGAATCTCTTTTTGGTGGAAAACATAGAATAGAATAAAACTTTATTGATCCCTTCGGTATAAAACCTCAGGGAAATTGTTAAATGATTGTTAGATGATGTGAAATATTTCATTATCATCTGTAATGTTACTTTACTACCTCGTTTTCTATTCCATGTCTTATTTTAACTGACTTCTTTTATTGTCAGTCATTTATATCACGATTGAGGATTCTGATGTGTGTGATGCTAATGAGGCCAAGCTCATTCCCCACAGTGGCTACTTACACTTAACTCCATGATAAGTAGAGAAAAATTTAGTAGTAAAACCATCCCATGTGTCAACTCTTGAAGCTTGTTAATCATCATGTGAGCATCTCCTAAAGGTGGAGTCAGCGAATCTGATCGTGGCTACTAATCCAACATTCATTTAGAAACAGGTCTTAATTAGAAATGTCACAAGCATGATAAAAAACGAGGTTGAAAAGTTATAAAGAGGTTGACGGAGAAGAACACCTGCCAGCCTGAGGAGTTACCTACGATCTACCTGTTATGTCTGATAGAAGATGCGTGTCATTGATTGGTCATGCCTACCGAGACCCAAAGAGGAAGCTCTCAGCTATGAAGCTCCAAAAGAAGCATTTTCTCTGATTGTCTTTACTGATGTCTCACTTTTCAAGGAAGGAAACGAGTATTTATGCTCCTGAACTTTGGAATATTTGCGGCTGAGTTTGTGTTTTGTTGACCTGCTTCCTTCCTGACACTTCATTATCTGGGAAGTCTCAAGGTAAAGTTAAGATAGTTAGCTGGTGGACTGTAAAGTACATTTTATCCACATGGCTACTTCCTGGCTGTTTCTACAAACACCACATGGTTTATTCCACCCTTGTTTCAGTGAAAATAATTTAGGTTAAACCACATATTTCTCTGCTGCAGGGTGTTTGGGGTCATGGTTGGGGCTTTGCAGCATTATGGAACAAGTGACGGGATCCATTTTGGACGTTCGGTCAGGTGTGGTGACATTTCAGGCTGGTTTCTGTGGAGGGAAATCAGCTAAATCCAGAGAATGTCTGCTCAGCACTTGAGGGTTGGTGGCATCCATTCGGGCATTTTTATTTTTGTGGAGCAAAATAGGGCTCTACCTCCACCATTCATTCACTACCTTGGTGTCTTATTGGTTGAGAATTGGTTGGACATATATGCAAAATCTGACCAGACATAATTGGAAATCCTGGTGTTGTTGGTGTGCTAACATACTGTCTACTGGGACGTATTACATGTTGCTCTGGTGTACTGTGTCGTATAGTAGCATTCGTGTTGGAACAACAGATGACTCGCACTAAAAAAGCAGCAAATTCTTGTAGAAACTTAGCATCAGACGACCTTTAATACGATTCAATGACAGAAAACATCCCACAGAAGCTGTTTCCTGGTTATTTCCACAGAACACTGCATCAACACCTTATGCTTTATTTCATCCTTGTTATGAGAATAAACAGCCGGTTGGTGCCAAAGAGTGATGGCCTGATTCTTCTTGTCACAAATGACGTCAACTTCATGTTAAATATTTAGAAATTCTTACTTGGTTCAGTGAAAATAAGCAGTATGGGGCCTAACCACATGAGCTTAACATCACTCCTGTACTAGCCATGTCAGCTAATTGCTTTACTTTTCAGCCTTATATTGAGTTTTTTGTTTTAGCACAATTTTAGACACTAAAGTTTCCTTGATCCAACCACGAAGGGACTCGAACCCTCAATCTTCTGATCCGAAGTCAGACGCCTTATCCATTAGGCCACGTGGTCACACTTTACTGTCACATTTCAACATCACCACACTTGAGCTATACCTGGTTTTTCTCTTCCAGGAGCGTCGTCTCATCCCAACAATTAAGGAGCCACACCATCAACGTGGGGTTCAGCTTCACCAGATTGGATTCCAAACACGACCTGGAGGTTCCTACTTCACTGCAAGAACTCACCTCCAGGTATCGTAACACAGACAACAGCAGCTTATGATGTCAGATTGAAGTGTAGTCCTGACGTCCACAAAAACATCTGAATTTGTTTTTAAGCGTCCCAGTCATTCTTTGATGAAACGTTTCTGCAATAATAACGAAGGATTCTCAAACTAACATTTGGAAAACCTTTGTCAGGATCTTTAATATCCGCCTCCTCTTAACGGAAACTATTCTAAATCTGATGTGACTTCATTAAAAACCTGTGAATTAATTCCCCTTGAAAGGAGCAGATGATAATAAGAGAGGAACTAAATCCACTCTGCACCAACATCAATCTCTGGACATTTTCTATTTCGCTGAAGGTCACATGTGGAGACTCTGGACCTTCATCTGATCTGCAAACGCTGCCCTAAATGTTCCGTATAAAGCAGTAAATCTCCATCAAGGAATCCTGCTCTCGACTTTCTGAACCCGGCAGAATATACATCATAAATCAAAGGACACTGCGATCGATTAGAGTAAATAAGAAGACTGAATAGCACAAGATGAATACGGCAAACATTCACCTGCTCTCTGGTGACCCAGACAGATTTTCATGCTTGGAGATTCACAACATCTGTATCTGGAGGAGGCGTGTTAGTGTTTGAAATGAGTGTCCTGGTTTGTTCTCTGTCACCCAGTCGACATCTTTAAAGTGTCACATGAGAATAGCAACTGATTTTAATGCACTTTTAGTCTCTTGGTTTAGTTTTTATATGAAGAAAAGACAATATAAATACATTTTAGCCAAATTTTCACCAGTAAATATGAACCACTGATTATTAAGATTATTAAGAATCCAGTAAAATCACAGAAAAAAGTAATAATTCACACATTAACCCTAAAAAACAGGCCAAACCTCCACATCCACAGGAGAAATTTATATTTTTAGACAGCGTTCGAGTGTAAAATTGCACTTATTTCTCTACTAACAGCTGTGGTCGGCAGTATTTTACAGTGCTACTATCATAATTTAGTCCAAGAGTTACTTCCTGTGTTGTGAGTTATGGAACTCTACAGCAAAATGTGACGTTTAATTTAGTTTAATTTAATCCTGTAACTAGACTTTCCACTAATATACTGTATTTACAACATGCTGCTGCTGTAAATTACAACATTTTCTTCGTTTTATAAGCTACAAACAGTGAACTTCAGACATATCCAATAAATTATATTCTGTTTTTAATGTTTATGATCCAGAATTGAGAATTCTGTTCAACATGTGTAAATGCAAATGGAACTAAAACGCCTAAAACAATGGAAGTTAATGGATAAAGCAGGTTACATCTGGATGGATCAGGGCTGTTTATTTAAAGAGAGCAGTTTGTATTAAACTGTAGAAAGCAAAGAACTGAACTTAGAAAAAAAAAAAACTGCAAAACTTTCCCGTCTCAGTGCATCAGTGTGAAGTTAGCAGTAATACTCTGCTGCTTAAATCAAGCTGTTCCTCTCAACAGTGCTTCATTAACGGTTGAATTTAGCTGTCATTCTTGTTTTTGCCTCAAAAACAAGCGTCAGAATTTACAGCTTTTAACTGTAGTTTAGAAAAACCGCACACTTGGCTGCATTTAGACATCATCTGTGGAGCTGCGGCTGCAGCCTAGGATGCTGCTCATTAGCACAAGTGAACAGAAACCGTTCATCAGTGCAAAATTAATCGTTGCTTTCAGATGTCTGTTGCTTTCAATGTGGCAAAGATAATTTTTGTAAACAAGATTTTTAAAAAAAATCTTGTTTCAGCCCAGGCTAAACGGCTGAGCTGTGAGTGCTGCTGGTCATTTTGCTGTTTGGTAAAAAGAAAAACAAAACAGCTCCTCACTCAGGTGAAGTTTTAGAGGATTCAACAAAGACGGAGTCATTAAGACGCTCTGAAGGAAGCTGTTGTGCTCTGCAAAAGTTGAGCATTCGTCCTAATGAAGTGCCACTCGTGCCTCGGACTCGCAGAGACACACTGACCTCGGCTAATTAATAACGCCGGCTTCATTAGTTTGTGCGCCTCGGGACTCGTAAGACAAAGTAATGTGGACTGTAATTAACGGTGTGACTGTTTGACAGCAGGGACAGGTCGATGTTTAGGGACTCCAAGGTCAGCAGTGCATAATATACCAAATATATGAGGTGCTGCAGAAAGATCGAAGCTGCAGATTTGCCTCTTAGAGAGCACAAACACATGGATCCACTAATTAAACTGATTATATAAATGGATAAAGTAGTGAGACGCCCTCCACGATGGCTCATCAGATTTATGGACTTCATCGGATGAAACTATTTTGGGGTTGCAAGACACGAATTAATATTCTGCTTCATCCAGATCTATGCAGCTGAAGATATATGGCTTCCATATTCGGCACTGTGGGTATTTTTCACAGTAATCTGCAGGAATAAATAACCGGATCTGGGCGTGAGGAATGTGTTGTGGCTGCAGATGAGACTCGAGGCTGCGACAACAATGACCATAAAATAAAAAAATAAAATAAAAAAATCTCGTCCTTCATCAAACATTCATCACTTCAGCGATACTGACAATCTGCAGTTTTCCAGAGGAAGGAGGACGATAAAGCTTTATTGTCCCGTGCAAAACAATGAGAAAATAAACACATAAAGGCAGCAGTTTGTTGTGCCTAAGAATAGTTTGAACTGAAATACACCAAAGAGATAAAAAGCTGCACCTTCAAACAGTATATTTTAAACTTCTGCTCAAGGAGACACAAGTGAACTGCGGGTTTGACACTCTGTAAATGAAGTCACGACGTGGGACAGAGAGAAGAGCTATTGAAGCAATCACCAATTGTCTTTATAATAAATTATTATGTTTCAGTCATTTTTTAAAGAACAAAAAAGTCTAAATTCTGTGATTTCAGCTTCTTAAATGTGATTATTTTCTGGTTTCTTTCCTCCTCTGTGACAGTAA